GGAGGAGGAGGAGGAGGAGGAGGAGGAGGAGGAGGCGCGGAGGCAGGGGACTGGCCGACACTGCGGGCTGCAGGGACCAGGCCAGCACCTGCTGCCCTGCTGCGCCCCTCTGACTGGGTTCCAGCATCTGAGGGGATGTGGGGAGGGGGCACAGCCATCCTGCCCGGGGACCCCCAACTGTCTTTGTTCCCCCCGGGATCCTGGGCCTCTCCTTTCCAACTCCACAGCCCTCTTCTGATTCTTTGCTGTGTGACTCTGGCCTCAGTTTCCCCCGGAGAGGGAGCGAGACGTAGTGGTCTCCAAACTGTTAAGTGTGATGCTGGAGGATTGCGATTGTCCTGAGAAGTTTGTTGAGGGCTCAGTGGTTTCCGCCCGGAAGGCCCAGGTGGGCCGGCTCGGGGACAGGCTCCTGGGGGTCCCCTGTTCCTGCCAGACCCCTCCACCTTGGCAAGGGAGGCCCGTGCACCGAGGGAACCCCTGCCCTACCCAGGGTTCCCTGGTGACCTTGGATAAATGCCTGGCCCTCTGCAGGTCACAGTTTCTATTTCCAGCCAGGTCTGGGGAGGGGGCGCCCCACAGCCCAGAGCTGGACCACCGGTTGGGATGGGGCTGCTGTGCGCCCCGGGCAGACTCTGAAGTCTCTGTGTTGACGGCCGGGCTTGGTGCAGGCTGCGAGGCCTGGGGCAGACGTGGCCAGCTGGAAGGCGGCCTGGGCACGTGGAATTCCCCGGCCCGGCCTGCTGGAGTCCAGCCTGCCTCCGGGTCGCTGCTGGGAGCTGGGGGAGGGGGCACCCCAGGGCTGGCGCCGGCCCAGGGGACTTGCTGTGTGGCCTTGGCCTCAGTTTCCCCCCCCCCATAGGAGGGTGAGGGTCGGGCAGGGGTGGAGGGGGAGCCCAGGGCAGCAGGCAAGAGGGAAGGGGCAGAGCCAGAGCAAGATGGAGGGATCCCAAGCTGCTTAGAGCTGGGGTCCCCCCCCCGCGCCCCTACATCCTGCACTCGCCACCCGCCTGCCCCGAGGGGTCCCGGGACCCCCGCGTGTGGTCTCCCGCGCTACCCAAGCCCAGGCTGGGTGGGCGTCCCAGCTGTGGGGGCTCGGGGGACCCCCGGCCTCCTGTCTCCCGGCCTGGCCCCGTACACGGTGTCTGTCTGTCCCTCTGTCTGTCTGTCCCTCTGTCTGTCCCTCTGTCTGTCTGTCCCTCTGTCTGTCCCTCCACCCGGCCCGCGCTCGGCTCGTTTTACTGCCAGGGTTCAGTCTGAAATAACTCCTTTGCTGATCCGACCGGATCCTGCCGGGATCCTGGCCCGGGGCGGGGTTGGCCCGATGTCAGTTCTGGTGCCAGGGCCACCAGGTGCCCGGGAGGATTCTGGGAGCCGCGTGGGCCCCTGTCCGTGCGTCCGTGCGTCCCGCTGGGCGGTGACTCAGGCCCCTTTTCACTTTTCTCTCCGGAGGAAGCAGCCGTTACTTCCATGAATCCCGGGCCGAGGCGGCCTCCCCCTCCCCCTCCCCCTCCCTCCCTCCCTCCTTCCCGCCCTCCCGCCCCACGTTAGTTATTCCGGGTTTGGGGCCAAATCCCTGTTGGCTGAGGTTGAGGATTCCCTGGGCCTGGGCTGGGGCCACCTCCCTCCTCCATTCATTCCTCCTCGTGGCCTCGCCTCTCTCTGCTACCACCCCAGCAGTGGGTAAACTGAGGCAGCAGGGGGCACCTGACATTGAGGGTTTCATTCCAGGGGGGCGTGGGGGGGATCAGAGAGGGTGAGAACTGGCCCAGGGCGGCCCAGCTTGGGCTCGGTCCCCAGTGTGTCCCCCCAGGGGGCTCACAGCGACAGCCCCGGCCCCCGTCCCCGTCCCCGTCCCGTCCCCCCGGTCCCCATCCCCGTCCCCGGAGGGCTGTCGCTTGCGCCCGGGCGCGCGGCTGGCTGCCTCCTCGGCGGCGGCGGCCCCATTAGCGGAGCCTCCGCCTGTGATTGGCTTCGCCCGGGAAGCTGGAGACGGGCGATGAATAATTGATGTGTGCGGTGCGGTAGCCGGACAGCGGCGGCGGTGGCGGGCGGCAGCGAGCGGGAGCGCGGGAGCCGGAGCG